TTTTTTGTATGACCAACAAGAACAGTTAGCACAATGACTTGAAGATGGGGACCTCTGGGTAAGACATGACTGCTTTTTTTCCAACTGGTATAATTTATGTTTGCTGTTGTAAATAATTATGTGCAGGGGGTTTTGTTTTGTTTTTTTCCGCCTGTGGGCTGAACATTGGTCATAGTAGTGATAAAAAGACAGTGAACTATGAAGTCCTGGTAGCTATCAGTAGTATGTGGTATGTGCTGACATGAGTGTAGCCTGGCTGATGAATGAGGACAATAAAACAGATAAAAGACAGAGAGGAAGGCAGAGGTGCGACACAACTGAACAGAAGTGTGGAGGCAAAAGCATCCAGTGAATAGACTGTGCGAATAGACTGCCGACTGTCATGTTTAGGATTTATGATACGAAGCACCCTCACCTTTATCTGTGCACTGATCTCATACTGCTGACTATTGGAAAAGAGCATCTGATTCAAATGTTGGCTAACTACCATAATTTTCTAATTGTGGATGCAAAATGAACAAATGCTCCACAAAACCAGGTCCTGAATAATAATTCAAGATGGTAAATATATCAGTTCATGTTCAGCCATTCAACATTAGTCCATATTGGATAAATTGTGCACAATGCAGAAGAGGGAATTAATAAAGAAACAATGTCACCATCAGTTTTCAATCCTAAGCAATCATTGGTAGCAACCTACAAAGAGTTGGCATTGGAAACAGCCATGCAGCATAACACACAGCACTCATTAACCCATCAGAATCTGCAGAACCAGGCACATGTTGTATTTCAGGTCATCCAACAACTTTTACTAGATAAACCCCTGTAAACCAAAACATATAAATCCAATAAGAATGATGATGGGTTTTTTAAGCTGTTTGGGAACAGCCAAGAATCTCAAATCACTCGTTGTCACTTGCTGCGGTGCTTGACTAAAACTGTCAAGTGATCTGACTAAATGTAACTGAGCAGAGAGAGGAAACGAGAAAAGGATGGCATGGACTGCCGGAGAAGGGGAACACTGGAAAGAAAACAAACCCTGTTGCCATACTTTCATCTCATAGCACCTGAGACGTAGCATATTAGCGCTTCTCTGACCCAGGATACAACACTGTAGATAGGAGTGAAGATCCTCTGAGGGAAGAATTAGAGTGGCAGGAGAGGTAACACATAAAACATCAACAAGAAAAAGGTCCTGGACAATACAGTGAGAAATGTCCTAATCACAACATCTCCAATGTAACCAGATCCAACATGGGACCACACTAGTGTGTGTGTGTGTGTCTGTGTGTGTGTGTGTGTGTTCACATTCAGACCATTCAGGCAGTCAGACCATTATCAAGAATCAGAAAGAGCGCTGAGAACTACTGTTCACGTTGACTTATGTAACTGTTTAATGAGCCTCATATGCCTCTTATTCTGGTCCTGTCACTACTGGGATCCCATGCTGCAGTATAAGCAGAGTACACAGAGTGCTCTTTGACCCATAATCACAAGACTACACTAAAACCCTATAGTTGTTATTTTGTCCTGCTACCCCTTCACAAGAAGCTCATACAGCAGGAAAATGATAAAAGGTTTTGAATGAGTGCAGGTAAATTCATAAATGTTGCAATTAGCGTCACCATTTCATCCCTATCTATAATCCAACCGAGTACAAGTATGATTTGTGTTGACAATGTTTTGGCTCCACATCCTTGTGACACTCCTGCTGCCACTCAAATTGAAAAACACAGGTGCTGCTCACTCTGACAAGCAACTTATCAGTGCAAGGGCAGAAGACAGCAGAACACAGGAGCTCAGGTGTTTGTCCCAAGGAGAGAGGACGGGATTTGCATCAGCTGTTTTCCCTTTCAAAAATCCTATGTGGCAGGCTGACCAACCTGACCCAAGCTAGACCAACTCCCCTGCCACCCAGTCAAATGAGGAATAAACAGGAAGCTCCTATAAGAAACCACGGGCTCATAATGCTGTGTTACACCTAGTCCTAATCCTAAAGCTGAGCTACGGACCAGTTAGACTTGTATGATTATTTTTTATCCCCAAACCCGTAATAATCCAGTGTGAGTGATACATTTAGTACCACTGTATATTTTGACATATGTGGCTCTATTAACACTCTGCAATACAGATGTAAAGCCTACAGGATGACAACATTCAAAGGGCCAAATGCAATGCTTAATTAAGATGGTAAATCCAGGTCGGTTCTGTGTCCTGATGTTTTAGGACGGAGTGGTTTAAACTATTGGTCAATTTGAGAAAAGGCGAACAAATTATGCTGGTCTACTATACATTTCTAACACCTGAGTCATTTCTACAGAATAATATACATTTTCTTCATTTGCTCAAGATCAGCAGATGATCGAATTTGCTTCTTAGTCTAGTCAAGCAGCTGTAGTGTAATGCACAAATAACTAGTAATCTCCCGTTTTGAAACTGGCAAAGCTATTTCACAGTGACATTCTGGCTGCACATAACCAAGAGGAGAAATGTAGCACTCCACTGCCAAGAAGAGTAATAATGTGACATATAATGAGGCTCAGTAAAATGAAGGGCTGGTCAAGTACAGGATCTCATAACATACACAAATAAAATATTTGGGCAAAACAAAATGTGTCACCTGGCAACAAGATAGGTCCATCCATGGGGATTTAGCATCTGTATGATTTGGCTTACAAAAGGTCAAAGTGGGCCAGACGTCAACAGCAATGTGATAAGGTCTTAGCTTTATTTTACACTCATTCCCACCAGGGGCTTATGGACAGGTTTCCATGAGGGCTATTATCATGTTGTCAGAGAATTTTCCCCTGCTTGTGTTACTCAACCTTCAAAGAGCTTGCCTCATTTCCCATCAAGCTAGAAGGACTTCCAATTTCTCAGTTAAAGTGAAAGAAAGAGTTGTGGCACATAAACAACAAAACTTCCTAATTTAAAGACGACAGAAAAACAAAAAACAACAACTAGACGTTCTTCCAGCCGACAGAAGCGCACAACTGTCCCACAACTACGCTGGTTGGATGACAAGCATAATCCCAAACAAGAATTGAATAGTTTAAAGGTGAAATGAGCAGAGCCATCGTCCAACTCCACATTTGAATCCATTGCCTTACTTATCGTTTTTAATATAAACTTTATTGTGCGAAATTAAAAATCTGTGGTCTATTTGAGTCTTATAACAGCCTTGTATCTGAGCTGTAGGTAGACTAACAGTTGCGCACCTGCATTTCTTTCACCTGTCGAACAGCTGGAGACTGACACTTACAAATCTAAACGTGATTTTTTTTTAAAAAGGGTATAGTTAACATACAGGTCAACTTGGCATCAAGTGATCGGCACTAGCTGAAATCAGACTGACAGTAGCCTTACCAGCCAATCGTTTTCCTCTGGGTAGTCGTTTAGAAACAATGCTTTCCTCAGAGTGGTTGCTGCAGACAGTCCTTGCAGGAAACCCTGTCCTTAAGCAGTCGATTCCCCCTCTCACATACACAAATGCGGAAAAGAAACATATACGTACTGTGTATTTCCACCACAAACTGCGTTGTGTACAACTGCATAGACACTCCTCCAGCAGCAAGAAGCCCTGTGTGTTGTGTTTCCCTCTGTCCCTGCCCAGCCTCTTTACATACAACCATGCCATTCAGTGCGCAACCGGACACAAAACATGTCGAGCGACTCTCGACCGCCCCCTGCCGGAATGAACGGACCACAGAATACTAGAGTTTATACAGTTTATTTAAATGCTTACAATGAGCAGTAAATTATGTTTTCTTACTCCACACCATAGGACAAAAGAAATCTTTGTTTTTAATAGCCAACATACCTTGCATTAGTTCCCTGAGATAATAATATACAGAGAAGTTGTGATGTTCACTTGAAGAATAATCAAATCAAAGGCAGCAGAAAATACTGGAAATAAGATAAATATGTGTACAGAGATACTGACTGTGGACATCAAAAATATCAAAATTAAATGGCACAATGAATCATGTTGGATGGGAGATTTTTCTATAAAAATCCAAAAAGGGCTGAAAATCTTTTCCCTCATCCATAAGTTGTTCATAAAGAAGACCTGCTCTGTGACAGGTTGCAAGCTTGACTCTTTTGTAGTGGTGACAGAGAGGAGGCCTCTTAACAAACTGTTATCCATGATGGATAATCTTGAGCACCCTCTGCACCACCTACTGGACAGACAGCGGAGCAGCTTCTCTAACAGACTGGTCCAACTCCGCTGTCACAAGGACAGATACAGGAAATCTTTCCTATGGGAGGCCATAAACTTTTACAACAGCTCACCTCTTGCGAGCAGAGAACTGTCATCATGATAATATCTGTCTCTTCATAATGAAATCTGTTCTGCACATTATCATTATTATCCCTGCACTCAGTTTTACTTCATTTGTCTGTCTACTCATCATTATATTTAATAGATTCAGCTTGATAACATGTCTACACTCCTGCACTCTAGTATACGTATGTTTCATTCATTGCACAGCTCCCAATTTGCACAGCTCTGGACAGCTCTCTATATCAATATTGCACATTTACAACTGTCATCACTGTTTTTACACATTTACATCTACCTCCAGCAAAGTATGTTTACATTCAGTTAGGCATGACTGACAAAATGTTGTATTCAATTTTAGACTAGAATTTATGTTAAATCCTGGATGTATATATTTCTTCTTATTCTTTATATTTTTAGTGCTTATTTACTTTGTATTTAATATTATATTGTCTTATTTGCTAATATTGTGTGTTTGATAACCTGCTGCTGTAACACCACAATTTCGCAGTTTGGGATCAATAAAGTAAATCTATCTATGATGTAATAGGGGCCAAACCATTTAGTGCCTTGTCTGGCTCCACTCCTGCTCCAGATTTATACTTAAATTGTCCTCCCATCTATGTGTCATTCTTATCATTTCTATAATACAAAAGAAGAAAAATAAGGCAACACATTATTAATCAATCAATCAATCTTTATTTGTATAGTGCCAATTCATAAAAAGTGTTATCTCAAGACATTTACAAAAAGCAGGTAAAAGATCTGACTCTTTGTTTTCTAATATTACAAAAGAGGGTGTCGTTCAGGCAGGCTGTGGTCGGCAGAACTTTAAGCTCCCTAGAGACTTCGTGGAGAAGAAGAGGTGTCATCATCAGCCAATCCAGGACCTCTGAGAGATTCTCTGAAGGAATTAAATAAACAGGTCAGGAATAATATACTTACATCTACATTTGAACATACTGTGATCCAGTTTAATGTTCACTTACCTTTCACTAGTTTCTGTGTTGTCATTCTTTCCTGGTTGCATCCCTATATTGGACATCTCCTGAAACAAATTCATTTTCAAAATCAGGATATGTAAGTGAGAAGAATAAAATGATTGTATGTATAACAATTATTTATTCGTATTACCTGCCGTTTCTTTTTGCATATATTCATTTTGAAATACAAGGCAAGTCCAATGACTAGTACTACTGCTGCTGCTATACTGGGGCCTGTGAAACCAAGAGATAGGTATTAAAAGTAATGGTGATATAACACATTAAATACAACATATCGTACAAAAATGTATCCTCACCTGATATTTAGTATTTGCAAGACAAATATTTGAGCACTTTGTGAAAGCAAGAAGACAAAAGGATGGCAGAGGAGAGCCATTTGTGTTAGTAGCCAAAAGCATTATTTTCTCCAGTCAAACAAACAGCATAAATGGAAGACACTGATTGTCTTCTGGAGATGTTAGCTTATCAGCAAGCAGAGGACACAAAGTGTAAGCAGGAAAAATTCTACAGATTTGCTCGTGTTCAGAACTTACCAACAATTAGACCAGTATTATCTGAAGAACTAATTTGTTCATTATTTTCAGTGGCTGATGATACTGTGATGGTTATATGAGAAAGAATTGGTCAAGGGTGAGTCAAAACACTGAGCAGCATCGTGCAAAGGGTGTATCTGCAGGAAAGCTTACCTCTGCCGAAAGCACAAATGGTGTTGTTGTCTAGTTGGAAAAAAAAAAGAAGTGTTGCAAAGTGTTATTTGACTGAACGTCATTAGCTGTTGGGCATCAGAAAACATGTTTGATTTGTATACAATGTTAGTTTTTGTTTGAATTAGAGAAATGTGTGGAATTGTAATATCATTGTGAACAGGGAAATCAATGAACTAGCAGTGAGTGCACAGAAACATTTCAATCTAGAGACTAGTGTGGCTTCAGGGCGCTTCTGTCTTACGAGGATACTGAAAGTTGAAGGGAGAAAAACATTGACTGCAGAGCTTCAACAGCTAATATGTGGATGTGGACTGAATCGGAAAACTCCGCAACAAAACTTTAACAAACCATGCCCAGTATGATGCAGAAGACAGGAGAATATAATCAGTCAGCTAACAGAATATGATCAAAAGTCTCTGCTGTATTTCAGTTTGTGAACACTGTTCCTGAATGGTCATAATTACAGAAGAATAAATAATCATCATGACACCTTTGAGTTACTCAGAGTAAACATTACCAACAAAAAGATCTTCTTTACGTGATTATTCAAACCCATTAGAGGATACTTATGTGCAAGTAATCCATATGTGTGCAATGGGTTTTCTACTTTTCCTTCAAACTAAAATATAAGCTGAATGAGTTCAAGGGGAAACTCAGAGGACAATATACACAGAATGGGCTTGAGGAAATCAAAAAGATAGTATAGAAAAAAAAGGAGATGTAAACAAAAAAGCAAGTAAAGATAAATACCTTGACATTTGTCTGATGCAAGATGACCTTCACCTTCAAACTCACAACTACCATCTGTATAAGTGGAAACAAAGGCCCGGCCATCATGCTTACAGACACTGTTGATTGGTGGAAATCCTGTGCAATTTGGGATGACAGGGTCAAGCTCCATCAAGAGCTGTGTATTATTGCAATACACAGATTTCAAATTGGCTGCACATCCTTGATTCTCACAGAAATACCGGTGAATAGGTCTTTCATCTGTAACATTATAAAGTATATATGTTATATGAAAGACTATATATTGATTGTTTTTATTCATCTTAAAATTGGATAAATAAAAGAGGACATGCCTGGGCTTGCTGTGACTAGACAGCACTGAGCCCTTCCCACAGCAAACACCAGCAGAAAGAAAAGTGTCACCCCTGTAAAGACAAAAGATTCATTATACTGATGGCTGTCGGATGGTTAAGTGGGGAGATAAGTCAGAACACGTACCGTTCATGTTTTTCTTGCTGCCTTTCAACTCTTGGTCACAGATAGGTTATCTCTGCTCCGGTTCTGTAAGATAAAAACTCAATGTTAAATTCCTCCTTGTCTAAACAACTACATCCTGTTATAAGGCTACCCCTCTTTTCGTTTCTGTCTGTATCTATTATAATTTTCATAGTGACACCTCCTGCTACTCAAGTCTTTCATTCATTCATTTTTTCTCCTAGCCTATATCAACTCTTCAATGTAGACTTTTCTGAGTGTAATTGATGAGCACTCTCTCAGTCGCCTTGCCCTCCCTCTTTGTTCCTTAGTTAGTTTATGTTTGTTTTTTTTTTAATCAAATTTCCTACTTTTGGGGGCTACCTTGCATTTAGTTTTTGTTTTGTTACCTAAAGGTTTTACTTCATTTTTGTTATGGTGGGTTAAAATATTGATCATCTCTCCTTGCTTTTGTTTAAGTGGTGGTCTGAACTTTATATTTGAGTTTGTTGTAGAGGAGGGCTTTGGTTTGTTTTATTTTAAACCAGCTGTGTTGATAAACAAAGGGTGTGTGTGTGTTATTTTGTCTTGCAGTGCCAGTGTAAAAACCTGAACCTCTGGAACCCTTCACCCTTAACTGTATCTCACTTTTTAACTTTCTAAACAAAACATCTCTTAACCGTCTACAATTAGTTCAAAAAGCTGCAGCCAGACTATTAACCTAACCAGGGGCCAGTTTCTGAAAGAAGGTTTTGTGCAAACTCTGAGTCCGTCAACCCTGAAATGAGGGAAACTTTCCGTTTCAAAAGCGGAGATCACTCAAACCCGAGAAAGAGGGGTAACTCCAGCCCGTTCCGGAGGGAGCGGTAACTTTACCTGTGAGTCAGGTAACTGAGTCTGTGAACCTAACCTGGTCGGGAGCAGGTTTTCATCAATGAACCCCGAGTTTCTCTCGGTCTCCTTTCATTTCCTCATTCTTTCATTCAGTCTGTATAGCTCCCTGACGTGTTAGTGAAGATTCACCTGTTGTCTGAAGAATCCAGGTTGGGTGGCATTACTACAGCGTATTTAAACGAACATGACGTATGTGAGGCTCGTCATGAAGGGGCTTCAAATTCATGTTGGCGTTTTATCGTCGTGGTGCACGCGCTGAACACCGGTCGAGTGGACCTACTGACACTCCCGTGAAATGAATTATTATGTATGATATATGTACGATTATATGTCATCATCCATTACTGTTGAACCTGAGTCAGAGGTGACAATTTCCCCTCGCTGGAGGATGAGGTTTTCAGACATTTCAGAACAGAACAGGCTCGGGCCTGGACCATACATCATCCAATCACACATTTTAAAAAGCTCACACCTTTAAACTGTAAGGTAGGTTATTGAGCAGGTGTTGCCATGACCACGCTTTGAGGATTCTAAATCTAATCCAAATTCTTAATTAAATTCAGTTTTCGCAAAGTTTAAAAGTAGTTTACCTTGACGCCAAAAAGGGAACTTTTTCCTTTACTGTTGTCCGCCTGACGATGGGCTCGCTGCTCCGACGTAATTCACTGAGCTCTCTCCTGGTGCTCTCCCGTCGTGTCCGACGCGCATACGCGACTCGGTGAGTAGTCTAGCCGGTTGGAAATGATCAACCCTCCCGCTCCACATACAGGCGAGTGTTTGCGGTGTCAAGCGCAGCATCTCAATTACAGCAAGGTCTTCACAATAAAAGTTCCAGGTTTAAATGTCTATGACGGGCTTTTATTGTGAAACAGCGATATCAGGAAATGGTGTATTTTCAGTGCTATCAACTTAACACAGACTTAAATAAAAACACAGGAGAGAAACACAACTTCAAACCTCACAGATTCAGTTCGAAGCTAACGTCCTGAGAAGTGAATATAGCTGAACTACTTTCTACAAGAAATTCTTTCCAGCAGAAACCTTTATGATTGTGATGACTCTCGTCATATAGGCAAAAAAATGGATTATCTTGCCTCTCAGCCGAGCTTGGGTGCAGCTAAATCAGCTTTTAAGGACATAACTGAATGGAAACTCTCACCAGCCTCAAAATAGGCCTACTAAACTAAAATAAGTTTAAAAAAAAAAATGTTTTATGTTTATAAGTGAGAAAACAAATTTCAGTTGTTGTTTTTTTGATAGTAGCCTAGAAGGAACTTCCCTTCATAAAATAGTAAATTATTTAAATACTATAAGTCTTGATTTAATATTATAGGCTACGTCATGACATTTTCTGCTGGTAATAAAGTGGCAGGTAAAAAAGGTGTTTTATGACTGAAACCCAGTAAATTGTGCGGCTGCCTGTCTTTGCCAGGACGCTATTGTAAAAGAGATTCTTAATCTCAATGAGACGTTTCCTGGTTAAATAAAGGTTAAATAAAAAAACTAAATTGGCAAACTGTTATACTTTGTCATGAATGCTGAACAGTTAAACCAAGTCCAGCCAAACACATGTGAACAGATCAGTCTTAAATATTCAATCACAGTTTGGATTTAGCACAAACTTAAATAATACTTTATGTTATATGGTTGGATGAATCCTTTAATATCTCTGAAGTTGAAAAGCATTAGAAAAAAAGTCTGTACTATATGTAACAGAGGAAATAAAGAAAATTGTCCATTGGTGTTTCCTTGTAGCAGCACTTTAAGAAGGGCTGCTGAAAGGTTTGATGAGACCAAGATCCATAGCTTTGACAAGGCACGCACGTGCAACATCGATGGTCTCCTGCCTCTTCGGGTTGTCCTCAGCTTTGCCGATCACTGAGAGGATTTCCAGCAGCTCACTCTCGATCAGCTTCTTCGACAGCTCACTGTCATCTGAGTTGAGCATGTTAAAGACAACCACCATGCCACGGTGTGCTATCCAAGAGTTGCTGTGCAGACACAACCTCTGCAGGATCTCCATCCACTGGGTTGTCTGTTTGGAGGGAGCAGTCATCCAATCAGTGACAAAGTATGTTTCTTACCCATTTTAAAAAATATATATATTTCTCTACATCTGTGTGTATTACTCAGTAAAAAAAAATGCCATCCTAAGAGAGTCAGTATAAGTCACAATACATTACTCGGCCCTTCTCCAGAGAAGCTTGGTCATATACGTTTCATCAGTGTAATCTCAATATGAGGTTAAAGGTGACAAATGTTTAGAAAAAATACAGCAGGAAGCTTGTGTTTCACACTCGAGTTGTAAAGTTTGAAAGGCTGTGTGTTATCTATGTGAAGGGGGCTCCCAAGTCGTTATTTATTGTATTGACAGACTAAATCATTGCAGCTGTGAGGTAATTTTCTGAATCTGAATATACAACAAACATAACCTCAACTTCAGTAAGCTATCAGTAATCTCTGATTAAGAAAGCTACAGATACACAGCTATATCATAGCTATAGATATCAAAGTGATCCAGTGTGTCCCAAAATTCTATTTTGCTAAAACCGTACAGATTGATACTAAGGTATTATCATTCAGTTATCTGAATTAACTCTCTTTTTAAAATTAAAAAAGTATGACACAAAAATAGGTAAACTGGCAGGTTAAAGCATCAGTGACATTTCTACTTTGACAGCAACTCCAAAAACAGCCGATGCATTGACCTGCAGCGGAATAAGTGATTACAAAGAACTGTAGGTCTTTAACGTAGAGCCATGCAGTATTGGTTATAAGTATTGGGCACTAACCAACACCAACTTTTTCACAATAAGGACCACAATGCTTTTTTTTAATCACTGTTGGGATTTGACGCAATCATTTATATTCTGTTGTACTTACCACCACGGTCAGTTTGGTGCAGAGCTTCTTCTCAGAAGCA